GACAAGGGTCTATCTAAGACCAATCTATTCATCTTGTTCCAAATGTTAGATACCTGATTAGTGTTTGTGGGAAAAGATTCTCTGATCTTCTAGATCAAATTGATATCTGGCTCCAATCCCATTGTGTTTATATCACATGCCAAAATATATTTAGCCCAAGAACAGTTCTTTAAAGGAAAATAATATGACATATGTATCCTTTAACAATTCCTTAACAATTCACTTTTTTCTATGTTTTAAGTAGATTAGATAAATGTTAACTAAAGCTGTACCTAAACTGACAATGATCCTCAAAACTCAAGTCTTAAGACAAAGTGGATTGGATGGGGGAAGAAGTTTCAACTAAGTACGCTTTACAGTCTAGTTCAGCTCTAATGTTTATAGTTTTAGGTTTATTGGGAAAATTCATTTCCTCTGCTGCATATCCAGCCAGAGCTCTGCTCTCCTGCAGTCTCCTTAAAGAATAAGCACATATGTGTGTGACCACATTTCCCATTCTAGAGGGGGTTCTCTCCATTTCACATGTGGCATCAGCTCACAAGCCAGTCAACTTTAGTCTATTTTCTTTTTCTTCTCTACTTGTTTTTAAGAGATTGTTTTGAGTACAATTGTAATTATGTTTTCTTTAGAACTAATAGAACTTCCTTCTTTTTATTAGCTAGGCAAATTTCCATCATTCCAGAATGAGTGAATAGAGTTTGAAAAGGATAGAGAGGCTAACAACTCTTCTGTCTTTAGCCCTATAGAAAGTTCCTCTTACCCTAAAAAATGCTTGTTGCATGAATAAAGGCATGAATGAGTGAGTATTCCATATGTAGCATAGGAAAAAACACCAAAACACTTGAATATAAGTTCAATGGCTGATCAAGCCAACATTCTCTTTAGAAGAAGAGTAACTTATCTCATGGACCCAAACACTGAATCTGAAATAAAAGAACTCAGAAGCAGAAAATAGAAGCATTGTCTTGTTTTTGTTTTTAAAGGTTGAAAATTAGCTTACAAGTTACTTCTAGTAAATCAATCCTTCTCCTCCTCCTAAACTTGTAATTATGAAGGGAAGAATGATAGCATTTTCTTGCAAAGAGTGTTAGTAATGCTGGCAGTACTTCATTAATCACTTAATCAGTGTTCAAGCAGAACTGATGTCCTTGACATATATAATCAATCTTGATTCCTCCCACATTTGATTTTCATCCTTTTTGAAATTCAACACCTACACACAACTAGGGACTTGTGGCCTATTTTCACATTGTGGTTTTGTTAGAGACAACTAATATGTGTACATAATAACAATCAGAATATTGGTACCTCTAATGGGGATCCTCATGATCTATTTGAAAATGGTTGTTTTCTTCAGTGAATTTATGAAAATTAAGTGTTAGAATCACATTCTAGAACAACTTAATGAGAAAATGGGCTCAGTTCATTTTGTTGATGCAATGTTTGGAAATGCCATGTTTCTTCTTAAAGGTAAGAAATTACTAGTTACTTGTTTAAGACAAATTCTGGAGAATGTTTCTCAAGGCTGCACCCTCAGGGAAGCTAGCATGGAACTGTAACAGCACACCAAAACAGAGCATCATTGATTAGGTTTACCTAATATTTTCTGTTGGGCAAGAAACGTTAATGATAACTGGCAGGATCTGATTTTGGCACTTTTACTATATATATTATATAATTATCTGGAAGTTTAAGTTATTACTTTTTCACTCCAAATCTTAGTGATGTGTAATTTCCATGTCTGCTTATTCACAGACCATAGACCCCACCCTTCCTACACTGGGTTTCTATATTGTATACTTTTCCTATTTTTATAAAAATGTTGTAATATAGATTTACAGATAGGGATGTAGAAAGGCAACCAATGAAGACCTTTAATTTTTTTATTGTGAAAATACTGTACAGAGGGGTTACAATTACATGGGCAAGATAATGAGTACATTTCTTAACAAGCATTGTAGCTTCCTCCTTTGTTTCCTCTTCCCATCCTTCCCCCCCCCCCCCCCCAATCCTCCTCCCCCCCCACCAAAGTTGTAAAGTTCATTTTTGACATAACGCTTATACATCTCATTGTTGCAATGAAAGACCCTTAATTTATAATTGCTCATGTACTTGAACAGGTGAGACAAGGAACTTTTTAATAATCTGGTGGTTCGGTGTAATTTTCTTCCATAAAAGATGACATCATAGTATTGCAGGATGGTTTAAATCCAACAAGTTTGCCACTGAGTGTTACAGAAACGGAAGTAATAGGTTTCCATGTGACTGTTGAAAGAATACCCATGCATAAAATGGTAAAAAGGGGAGTTAGAGAGAAGGTTAATTATAAGAGGTCATATCATATTGGTGGAAGGTGGATTTGCTTTTAAATGACAGTTACTAATAGCCATACAGACACAGCTTTCATTAGGAAAACAAATTTCCTGATCTAAATGAAATTTCCCTAAAACTATTTAATCTCTGTCCCCACCCTATTGCCACTCCCTTCTCTTTGGCTCTGATGTATAATGATCAAAGCAATTTTCTGACAACTAATTTAACTCCTTAAACACGTGGCCATAAGAAAGGTTATCAATTATTAAATGAGGTATGACTTCCATTAATATACTGGCAATTTTTAACAGTGTCTTAAGTGATTTTGGTTACTGTAAATCAGTTCTCCTCAGCCTAATTAACTTTTGAGAAAGCTAAACAACTTTGCAAAGGGAATCATGGTTCTCCAAGTCCACATAGAAGGAAACTCAATCTGTACTGCTCTAAATCTCTCAAAGGCTCTACCTGTCCCAGCCCCAACCTTGCACATGACCCAACCTGCCCTAAACTTCAGCCATTTTAGACAAATCTGATCATATTCCTTAGGAGTTTTGGATAGGACATAAAAGATAAGATGAGAGCAAAAGGGCTTGTGACCCTGACCACACATTCTGATCCAAAGCAAGCTCAGCCACCATGGACCTAACCAGCTTCTGCTAACGTGTTTAGTCAACATCAAGCATTTCCTAGACTCTGATGAGTTATTCAATACACACTGTGCTTAGACCAAAGAAACATGACATGGTTACTATCTAAAAGAACATGTGAAGAAACAAGTTCATCATTATTGTGCAATAGGTGACTTCCAGGTAGCAGGCCAGTAGGTAGCCAACATGCATTCCCAAGCTGGGTCCCATCAGCTTTTCCACAGGAACAGATTCTTCTTCTGGATCCAGTGAAGAGCTCAGGGTACTGTCACAAAATGCCTACATTTTCCCACACATCGGCATAGTCTCTGGTTTCTAATGTTGCCATGCTGTTCCCTTGGATTTAGAGGTGAGGTGTCCTGGGTATCCACTGCTGCCTCAATCCCATCCTACAAGGCTTCTCCTGATAAGAGTCTATCCCCAAAGCAAAATGCCATTGTCTTTCTACTCTTGATGGACACAGCACAGGAAGCATTGTTTTCTCACAGCATTGAATCCTATATTAGGACATAGAGCAGCACTTTTCTCATATCTTCTTGGTATTCCATAGGAACTTGATGGCAAAGATTTTCATTCCAGTGGCTCTTAATTGGGCTGCCATGTTCCTGACATTTGGGAATTTGTCTGAAGGAAACTAAAATCTTACCATATTTCTGGATACCCAATGTCCCTCTCCACTCAATTTGAGGATTGTCACCATCCAGTTGTGGTTAAAGTCGTCCTTTATTAGTACCATTGAGTGATTCACAAATAGTCCTGACGTTTTATGACAAGGAAGTACTATATCAGAGGTCTCCCCACTAGCTCCTTCATGCTTTCCAAGAAACTCATGCTTTGTATAAATGAAGAACTAGGACTTACCTATAAGCAACAGATCTGTCACAAGTGGCAACACATCTGTCAAAAGTGGCTGACACATAAAAGAGTGCAAATCAAGACAACATTGAGATTCCACCTCACACCAGTTAGAATGGCTATAATCAAGAAATCTAATAACAACAGATGCTGGAAGGGATGTGGCCAAAAGGGAACCCTACTGCATTGTTGGTAGGAGTGTAAACTTGTTCAACCACTTTGAAAAGCAGTATAGAGGTTCTTCCAAAGACTCTACATAGAGCTCCCCTATGACCCAGCAATCCCACTTTTGGGCATTTACCCAAACAATCACAAACAAGGCTACACTAAAGCTACCAGCACAACTATGTTTATCGCAGCATTACTTACCATAGCTAAGATATGGAACCAACCCAGATGCCCCTCAGTAGATGAATGGATGAAGAAAATGTGATCTATATATGAATTCTATGCCTTCATCAGAAAGAATGGCACTGCTTCATTTGGTAGGAAATGGAAAGACTTGGAAAAAATTATATTAAGTGAAGTAAGCCAGACCCAAAGAAACATATGTCCCATGGTTTCCCTTATTTGCAATAACTAGTATATGTCTAGGACAAGCAAAAAAGCTCACAGGTATGTACATGTGATCATATAAGATGGTGCTAAGCAAAATGAACCCTAAGATAGAGACACAAGTAGTTTTATCTTTCTTGCTATTTTTAATGTATTTATAATGTACCGTGTGATTTTTTGTTTCTTTTGTATGTTCTTCCCCCATGGTATAACCTCTGTTTTCACTGTATTTGATTGGGGTGCCTTGCATCTGTATATACGATTTTTAATTTGGGGAGGGGAAGGGAAATAACAAAATGCTGAAATAAGATATAGGTTGACCCACTGTAACAATGAGATGTACAAGACACTATGTTGAAAATGAACTTTACAACTTCGGGGAGGGGGGCAGGGAGGAAGAAGTTGGGGAGGTGGGGAGGGAAAGGATGGTAGGGGAAAAACAAAGGAGGAACAATGCTCGATAGGAAATGTACTCATTATCTTACTCATGTAACTGTAACCCCTCTGTACAGTATTTTTAAAATAAAAAATATATGCAAAAAAGTAGCTAACACTGGTGACTTATCTATTACAGCTTAGATATTCATACTCAAATCCTCATGGCCCTAGTCTTTTGTCTTTCTGTTACAGATAAAGGAATATTCATTATCCAAAGTGAGAGCCTCAAGAAATGCATTCAGGCTGGTAAATCTGTACTCATCCTGAAGGACTGCCAACAGGCAAATGAGAACATGCTGTGGAAATGGGTTTCAAACCAACACCTTTTTAACCTGGGAGGAAGTGGTTGCCTGGGCCTGAATTTATCCAATCCTGAGCAGCCATTAAGCATCTACGAATGTGATTCCACCCACGTTTCCTTGAGGTGGCGCTGCAACAGGAAGACAATCACAGGCCCATTCCAGTACATGGTCCAGGGGAGGCATGATGACACTGTTGTGGCTTCAAGGAAACATCACCATACTTGGATTACCTACATGTCAGGCAGTGGAGATATTTGTGAACATCTTCACAAAGGTAACACTTATTTAAATCAGAATGCTGATGGAACAATAGGTGGTATTTAGGAAGTATTCCATAAGTGAAGACTTGCAGAGCACTATGAAGACAGACACAGTGCCTAGTAATGTCAACAGACTTCTAGTGAATGCATTTGGTGGCTTCCTTGCTTGTGGCAAAAGGATTACTGGGATCTTGGATCAAATATGCTAAATTTTTCTAAAGAGACAGAATTCTCAGAACTAAAAAGTATTGAGAGGAAAAAATTTCTTGTTCTGGGGATCAATAAAAAATAGAGAACAAACAGTAAGAGAAAAAAAGAAAACAGAAGGAAAGTATCTTAAAGTGAAAGCTTTTACATTAGCAAATATAAAGACCACCCTTGCCACATTTCTCTTATTGCAGAAGCTCAGACTCAGCTGTGGAGGTATCTGTGGGGCTACTCAGATGACTCCTATGCCTGCCTTGGCATCCACAAGGCGCAGGAAGATAGATGGCACACTCTTGTCAAGGGTTATTTGTTGCTTTCCAAGCGTGGATTGTGGAAGGCATGATTTATAGAGAGGCTTCCATTTCCCATAGTTCTCTTATTTTTTACATTTTAAACAGAAAAAGAATAAAAGATAAGAATAAATAAAGTCACTTCGTTAAATTTGGACACATCAGTCTGTCCCTCGGGTTTGTCTTATAGCACTAGTCATTCATTCTTTCACCTAGCCATCTATCCCTCCCTCCATCCATCCATCTACTCATCCATCCACCCATCCATCCCCCACACACTTATTCAGCACTAACTGGTCAGCAAGCACAGTACTAGTACTGTACAAAGGCCATGGTCCTCCTCGTGGATTATGAGATCACATCCTCCTACAAACTCAGTACCTTGAGAGCAAAGCAATACACTTTTGACACCCAAGGCAGGACCTTCCTCTGTTGCTAAAGTATCAGGGCCAAGGATAGGATATTTGGAGGCTCACTATAATAAAGCAACTAATGCAAATGAGCACTCTGAAAAGTATGGGACCGTGAAAGAACTTGCTATTTTTCCTTATGTTAATTTTTTGGCCATATCCTCACATTTACTGTGCCCAAATGGTATGCATTGCAACACGTGCCTCAGAGTGGAAGACAGAGCCCCTAATTCCTAAAGAGGTCCAACTGCAAAGGCTGGCAATGTGTTGTGACCTCAGCCCATCCCCTGTCAACTATGGGAAAGTGACAGCAATCTCCACAACTGACCTTTTTGTCCAGGACCATTGACTTGATTAAGGATGGCTCTGAGCCCCACCCCCCACCCCATAGAAAGCCCCAGCTGAGTCATGAAAAGTTTTTATTGATTGCTGCTTACAGTCAAAGATGATGGATTATTGCAATACTCCGAGAAAGCAGCCAGCAGAACACATCTGCCCGGCCATCCCTCTCTAGACCACAGGAGAAGCTGCTTAGCCAACCAGCTTACTTGGCCCTCTCTCCATTTAGGCTGTTTGTCATACTGTACCCTGAGTGATATTTTTTAAGAAATGGAAATGTGATTTTGTCACCTTCTCATTCAAAATGTGCCAGTGAATTTCCATTACTCTCAGAGTGAAGGACAAAGTCCATAAATGCTTCTCCTTGGCCCTTGGCCTTGAGCCTCCCGGCTCTTCCTCATCCACCACTCCTCCACGTGTTTATTTCTCCAGTTCTTTATACCTGCTCTTCCTTCTGCCAGGATGACTCTTTTCCTCTTTGCCCTAGACTAGCGCCATTGTTTCACCCAGTTACCAGAGAGGCCTTACACTATCAAAAGCAATGTCCTCTCACCCCTTCACACACATACCTTCCCACAGTCTTCATATACTGTTTTTTCCCCTTTGTGACACTATCACTATCTGCAATTATATGTTTATTTGTATATTTTCCTTCTCTTTGTTTCTCTTCACTAAACCAGAAACTCCTCAAGAAAGGGGTTATTCATTACTATACCCCAGTACAGAGTACTTTAAATGCTCAATAAACATTTATTGAATGAATAAAATCATAAATGCCTATGAAACCACTGAAGTTCAGATTCTGGTAGCTAAGGTATTCAGGACTGATTGAAACTTTCAAGGAAAATCTCCATTAAACTTTCCTTTTCATCCATTCACAGATAAGGTATGCTATCATAGCCATGCATAAGAATAAGTAAATGCATAGACTGATACACAGCAAACCACATACCAGTGCTTCTTCTAAGCCTAGCACTGGTCCTGGCAATCTTACTAACACTGGACGGTGAGGGCCCCACTGAGCTTTAGCAAAGTACAGACCCTAGGAGATTTTCAGCCAATAAAAATGCATTAGTCTGATGACAGTTTCTAATCATATTTAACTCTGTAATGTTTTCCTCTTAGATCTCTATACGATCCAAGGGAATGCCTATGGAATGCCATGTGTGTTTCCCTTCCAATATAAGGAGCAATGGTATCACGAATGTACCCGGGAAGGTTGGAAAGATGACTTGCTGTGGTGTGCCACGACAAGCCGATACGAGAGAGATGAGAAGTGGGGATTCTGCCCAGATCCCAGTAAGAATAAATGCAACATTCTCCATGTCATGAATGAATTTGATGATGATTAGAAAGTTATCTGTATCTAAAGAAAAGCACTAAGGCTGATGTATTGAAGTCTGAATAAGCACACTGATTCGATTCCATTAATCCAGATTTTCATTTGTGATTTGTTTTTAGCTTGAAAAGACAATTCTGATGTATATTCCATTTTTTAACTTATGTTCAATAGATGTTAATTAGCCATTCTCCATTAAGCACAGTGAACTAGGATGCTTTAACTGGAATCAAATTATAATATTGTGAGATCTCATTAATCCCAGCTTCCCTGTAAGATACTTCAAAACAAACTTGAATGCATAGGAAGCACAAGTTTTCCTTTCAATCCACTACCTTTTCTGAGCTGCCCTCATTTCCCCACATCCAGACTGCTTGTCTTACCCATTGGCAAGCACAGGCATTAGCTGGTCCCTTGATGATCTCTCTATAAAATGACAGTTGCCCTCATTATTTCTCAACAGTGGGTTCTCCTCTTGACTCCCTTCCTTATTCCATGCTTCTAGTCATAACCTCAAAAATCTTCCCTTCTCAACTTGATTTTCAGGATCCAGTGACAGCTGCCATCTTCTAACATTTTCAGTTAGGGCTTAATTATGTTTTTATCTTATTTTTACTTAACCGAGAGGTTTCTAATTGTTCCTAAGTGTTGGAGAATATTTCTATACACCTTCTGTTTCCTCTATCAATTTCCCTCCCTTTGGTTCCTAAGTTACCATCTCTTCATTCCCATGCTTCCCTCCCTTTTTTACATACATAAAATGCAGCAGTCAATTTTAAACAAAAGCAGATTTACTCCACAGAATCTGGTGTATTAACTACCTATAGAATTGTTTTCTAATCTAAGAGGCAATGTAACTTAGCAAATAAGAAAGTGGAAGGGCTTTGAAATCTGACAAACCAAGACGGAAGTCCTGCCTCCCCTCAGCAATGAGACTTTGGGGAAGCTCCCCCTGTCATTGTGAGTCCCAGCTTCCTTGGCAATAATATGGACATAATAATGTTTCCCTTCAGGCTTAGTATGTGGATTCAATTAAATGCTTCATCCAAAACATTTATCATAGAACCTGGTACAGAGTAAGCACTGACAGAGATTAGAAACCATCACTACTTATTATTATCAGCATCAAACTTGATATATCTTTTCAGCATAGCTTTTGTTTGCTTGTTTTTGTTGTTTCTGTGATATTAAAGATTGAATCCAGGGCTGAGCACCCATGGCTCATAGCTATTCAGGAGGCTGAAATCTGTAGATAACAGTTTAAAGCTAGCTTGAGCAGGAAAGTCCATAAGCCTCTTTCCCCCAATAAAATACCCCCGCAAAAAAAGATGGAAGTGGAGCTGTGGCTCAAGTGGTAGAGCACTAGCCTTGAGCAAAAGAAGCTCAGGGAAAATGCCCAAGCCTGAAGTTCAAGCCTCAGGACCAGCAAAAAATAAAAAAGATTGAACCCAGGTCCTTGTGCATGGTAATCAAACACTGTACTGATGAGCTACATCCCAGCCCTTCAATATCCACTTCTAGTCAATAATACCTCCTCTTTGTTGCTAATCAACAACTACTAGTCTAAGCCTTCCTGGTAAATACCAAGAGTTTTAGAACTTTGGGATTCTTCCTCCAAAGAACGTTTGGCTTTTCAATGGAAGAGAAAATAAACACATTTGCTCCATATCACAAAGTTTAGACTATGTTTGATAGGATGCTCGAGAACCAACTGGGAGAGAGTTAAAATACAAATGCTGACCCCTCTCCAAGAGATGCAGTGGGTTTAGGATGTGGGACCTGAGCTACCTGATCATCAGGTGATCCACTTGTACATAATTCTTCACTATACAAATTATAGCATAAAGATGATTCCACGCACCATACCTCTAATACAAGGGTGATAGTAAGACATTTAACAATCAATATGGTATGGGCTATTAACTGATCCACAGAGAGACCTTAGCGTTGTATTATTATTCCCTTGGAAGCTGGAATGGGATTGGGGCATACAGGGAAGCCTAGTTCATCAAGAGGCTAAGGACAATATCTAGTCACCACAAGCAGGAAAGCACTTCATTATTTAATAACTGTCAGATCTCTAGCTTTCTTTCTCTGAATCTGAATGTATACAAAGGTATACATCATGCATGTGCTCCCTAGACCCCTTAGTTCCTGAATCAGATGTCATATTATTTGCATCATCTCCTTTTTCCAATTCCATTCATTTCAATAGATCACAAAACTGAATAGGTGAACCAATACTAATAAAATTAACACATATTTCACATAGCTCTAATACTAGGGACATATTAGGGGCATTTTCAGTATTCTCATTAAGGTGTTAAAAGAGTCCTATCATCATCCTTTGTCACTTGTATCCAGTTATAGCTTCCTGGTGGAAAACCCAGTTTCCTGGGGCTCAGGGCTTGTCACCCCTCAGACTGTTGAGCTACCTACAGCTCAGAATCATCCTTGGTTTGACAGCCTGCCAGATTCCAGTTCCACCAACCTTTACTGTGACCAACAGAGAGCATGTTTATTTATACAGTGCTAAGTTACCATTCTAGTTTCCTTCCTTTCTTGTAGCCAACCTAACTCAAAATGATGTGTCAAAGGCTGAAATCTGAGCAAACTGATAGAAATGACCAGAACAGAGAAGCATAGCTAAACTAAAGTTTCATACTTTTGTGCCTAACCCTCTGTCTCTCTCTGTCTTTGTCTCTCTCTGTCTCTCTCTGTCTCTCTCTCTCTCTCTCACACACACACACACACACACACACATACAAATTAACATTTGGATGAAAAGGGTTGCTGCTCCTTGAAAAGTTGATTATAAGTGGGAGCCATTTAATTTTAATACCGATAAGACACATTCACTGCAGGATGTGATACGGCATCTTTAGGACTAACCAGACTACAACAGACTCTCTCTGGATTGTGCTATCTCTCTATAGATCGTTCGTCCTACACAGCTGGAGGGTCACAGAAATATGTTTAGAATATCATCCTTTGATGTAATCTGATTCTTCCTTGCATTTTATTCAGTTGATACAACATAATGGACCAGATTAGTGCCAATAGAAATATATCATTGCCCTCAACATAGACTGGAAAAGCTACTTTGTCTCTCATCATCAAAATGAAAAAAATGGCATGGGAAGGGGAAGCTCAGTGACTAATCGCCTAGCATATACAAGGTCCTGAGTTCTATCCCCAGCAAAATACAGAGAGGGGAGGGAGGGAGCACAAGCATGCAAAAGGTAATCCACAGAACGGAGAAGCAAATAGTATATCTTACAAGAAAAACATATCTAGAATATAAAAATAATTTTTACAACTTAATTCTTTAAAAGGTAATTAAAGATATATAATTCTATTACTTAATTAATGGATAAATAATTCTATTCACAAATGGGTAAAGTATCTAAATAGAGACTTCTCCAAAGAAGATTTACAAATGACCAATAAACACATGAAGGGATATTCAACATCATTAGCCATCAGGGAAGTTCAGTTACAACCTCAGTGAGATACCATTTCACATCCAGTAGGATAGCCACAGTCACAATCACAGATCATAACAGGTGCAAGGGAGGATCTGGAGAAAGTAAAACACTTTATCTGCTACTGGAAAGATTCCAAAACTGAGTAACCAGTTTGGAAGGCAGCCTATCAGTTCTTCAACGATTTAAACTACTGCCCAATAATTTACATCAAATGTATACCTTATACTATATTTATGAGTGCATCAGTTGACAAACATTTGCACTGCTTTTTTGCCTAAATAAGAATAATGCTGCTGTGAACATCTGTGTACAGGTTTTTATATGGGCATATGTTTCAATTTCTCCAGATGTTATACATGGTGGAAGAACTGCAGGATCATGAGGCAAGTTGATATTTAAGTTGTTGATTGTGGTGATAGGTGCACAGTGCTTTGAGTATGCTAAAAAGATTGACTTGTATAGTTTAAAGGGTAAATTACACAGAGTACGAACTATATTTCAAAGAAACTGTTTTAAAGTAAATAGGAGATGAGGTATTAAAGACAGCTTATGTATAAAAGTATGTGTCTTGGAAAGAAGATAGTAAGAGGGATAAGGAAGGACCTGCTTTTATTTTCTTTCTTGCTTTCTAAATACGAGAGATGCCAATCATTTGGAAGGCACCTGGAAATGATGTGCAAGTGAAGCTGGAGGGGCAGGAAGGTAAAGACAACTGATGGAGGCTCTCTAGTCTCTCAGAAGCCACAAGGAAGTAGGGTCCAGATCATAGATGCACAAACTGGGCATTGTTTCTATAGGAAGGAAGAAGTACAGGAAAGCTAATAGGTTAGGTGATGACAGAACATGTGGAGAAACCCATCCACTGGCTTGCTTTCTCTCTGCAGAAGAGAATGGAGGTGTGAGGGGTCTGGATTGGGGAAGGCATGAAATGAGTATTGTGACCAATAGGAGGGCCGAGGCATTACTAATGAAAACTAGTAATGTTTTCAGGAAGCACTGGGGTGAGATATATTTATGGCTGCAGTGACTTTTCTTGGCAAGGCCCATCTGCTGATGAAGCAGATGATTTGCTTCCTCCATTGACATGGAACTCCATGAAGTTACTGATGGACTCAGTTTTCATTGCATTTAAAGATTCAGCAACACATAACAACATTGACACCATCTCTGTCCTTGAGATTCTGTAGCCCCCACTTAATATGAATTCTCTCCCTTTCTTATTGGCCTTCACTGTTCAGCTTTTTTTTTCATACATGTCTTTCCCTACCCAACAACTCTATAAAGCTGATTGGGAAACTTAGGGAATAGTGTGGCCAAGTCAGAACATGCTTCTTGCCTTCTTGGTACTTGTATTTATCAGGAGAAACAAATGATGAGAAAGTAATCACATAATATATCACCTAATTTCAGTGGTGATCAGAGAGCATGCAAAACTTTGAAAAAGTGCCTTCCAAGAAGCCCTGGTGCCTCAGTTGTATGGGGTTTATCAGTGTAGCACTTTGCGAAAGCAAACATTCAACAAATATTTGCTGAGTCTGCGAAAGAACTAAGATCGGAAAAAAAGTCACTGCAGCTTGGAGTGCAATAGCTTCTCTGATAGTGCAAGTCTTCATGCATAAGAAAATAAATAAAAGAACTCAACAATTTCAAAAAGTGACAAGAAATGGTACTCCTGGGACAATGAAAAAACCATGTCTTTAGAGAAGAAAATGAAGCCATATTTTCAGAGGAGGAATGGCTGGATCTCAGTTGTGATTCATAGTGAAAACAGGGTTGACATGAATTTGCCTCAGTTCATTGCAAGAGTGATGTAGTTTGAAAGGGGAAAAATGACCTATTTTAACATCACACAAAATATGTTAGTAATCTTTTACCAAATACTAAGAAACTTTCTTCAAGGAACTCAAAGCTTAGTGACACAAAAATAATATATAAAAACAAGCAAATGTTCAAAGAAATATGATTACAGTCCTTACTAGACTAATTTCACTAGACTAACTAAGCATGCCTGAGACATAGCCTTTGATCTTGTATTTTCAGCAGCTTGGAAAGAGAGAATTCTATATACAAACAGACACCCCAGGCCAAGATAGAAAGCTGAGCAGGTGGACTACCAGAGAGACATCTCTCAGGCAAAGATGAAGATGCAGGTGGTTTTCTGGGGTCCTCTCAGGATGAGTTCATGTGAAAAGATGGGAAGACAGCAGACTGCAACAACCTCCTAGACCCATCAAATGAGACACTCTCAAGCTAGAGTGGGCCTTTCTTAATGGCCCTGGTTGGTAGCAATTCACATAGCTCATCCCTCATTGACCAGCCATGGTATGCCCCCTGCCCTTGAGAGCCATTTGGGAAGGCAGATTCAGTCATGGCAGTCCTTGAGGAGCCTTAAAGCTTGAAAATATCTGTTGGACAATGAGGAAAATTCTTCCTTCAGTTCCCAAGGGAGATCAGAGCTTATGTCTGCCTGCATAGAAGTACAAATTCTAACATTTTAGTTAAATAAATTCCAGTGCCAAATGAACTGACTTGTGAGGACGTTAAAAGGACTTGTTGCAAGTATTTGGCAGAAGTTCTCTATTAACTAGCCTTAAGAATGAAAACAAATCATCTAAAATCAAGGAACATTTAAGGTAAATTGGACCATGTGGTGCCTAGCATAGAGAGGATCACCCAAAAATTCTCACCTTTGATGACTAACATCATTCAAGCTGGTTACAAAAAAAAAAAAGCTGTTTAGATGAACTCTTGGCAAATGAAATAGGATCAATTGAGATATCCTCCGGACTCTTTCTTGTCAGGTACATGGCTGTGGCCCACACTTTTATGCTTAGGATTTATTGTTGTGTCTTTCCCAGGATTTATCTCACTCTTTAGATCTCCCCTCCTGACATCCTGCTGTATTGTAACAGCCACGGGCTACTGAGACCTTACATATTTTTCCACTATGCTAGTGTTTCCTAGTATCAGCTTCATGGAACATCTGCATTACAATCAGGAATCTTTTTTGTGGTTTTGTGAGGGGGAAAGGTGTGTATATGTGTATATAAGTGTGCATGTGCACCTGTATGCGTACAAGCATGTATGTTAATCCTTAGGCTGGAACTCAGGGCACCCTATAACCTGAACCACATCTTCACTTCCAGCTTTTTGCTAGTTAGTTGGAGACCAGAGTCTCTTGGATTTGTTTGCCCTGACTGACTCTGAACTTACATCCTCAGATCTAAGCCTCTTTAGTATCTAATATTACAGACATGTTCCATCAGGACTGGTAAAATCAGGAATATGTTTTAATCCTACCCTGAGCAAGGAACCTGGGGTGGAGGAGACTGGTGTGGTGTGATTGTGTGTATGTGTGTGTGTGTGTGTGTGTGAGAGAGAGAGAGAGAGAGCCAGTCCGCAGGCTTGAACTCAGGTCCTGGATGCTGTCCCTGAACTCTTGTTCTCAAGTCTAGCACTACCACTTGGGCCAAGGCTCTATTTCCAGCGTTTTTTATGATTAAATGGAGATAAGAGTATCATAGACTTTCCTGCCTGGGCTGGCTTTGAACCTCCATCCTCAGAGCTCAGCCTCCTGAGTAGCTAGGGTTACAGCCGTGAGCCACTAGTGTCCAGCTGTCTTATTCCTTTAATATGCTAATACACATTAGCCAAGAGGACGCTTTATATATACTATCTCCCAAATTTCCTTAGGAGCCTCATGAAGTCTTCCTACTCTGAAAACAGTACTTGGGGAAGAATGTTCTTACGTGTACAAGTTGCCTAGCATCAGTCATCTTCATGCTAAAGATGATTCCCATTTCCTACACTTTGAAATTCTATGGCTGAGTTCAATATTGTGGGGAGAATTAGCTTACCTTGGGGTTCAACTTAAAATCTGAGCTCAGTTTAAAATCTTAAGATTTTAATGAAAAGATGTCAATGGCGTAGCAATGCGGACTTCACCATACAAACCTAATCAAGAATAGAAAAGACACTGATGTTTTAGAGGTTTGCAAGTTGGAGTCATTTTATTTAAATCCATTTAAGAACAATATGGCTCGACAGATTAAATAAGACTGTAGTGAATGTGTTTAATGTTCTTTATTGCCAGCATCAGCAAATACAGGCTGTAACGCTCTCTGGGAGAAGGACTTCAAGTCGCACATTTGCTACCAATTCAATCTGCTTTCATCTCTCTCTTGGAATGAGGCACATTCTTCCTGCCAGATGCAAGGAGGCAACTTGTTAAGTATTGCAGATGAGAATGAAGAAACGTTCATAAAGAGTAAGTAGGTGAATGGTGCTCTTCAATGTTGACCCAATGAAATAATTATTGTTAACAGTTATGTCCATGTATACAAAAATACAATTTGGAGGAAGTTCCTTAAAAATATCTTTTTTAGAAATTCAGGGACAGCACTCAGGCCCAGAGTTCAAGCTCTGCAAAACAAAAAAAAAATCTTTCATTTTTCATGATGGCCCAAACACACTCAGAATTTTTACATGAATCTTCAACATTCCAATTGATACTTATATTTTCCTTAATTTTGTTCCATAGAGAAGAGAATTTGAGGCCCTATCAAGAGACTGCTCGATTAGATAACTGGTTATTATTATAATAGCTTACTCATTGTGTTTAGACACAATATAAATAGGACTTCTGGTAAATGCCAAACAACTTAAATTTTGGGGGGAAAAGCATGCACATATCAGCTAGCAGTATAAAACAATAATATGTTGAAGAAATTGTGCTAATAACTTGGAACCTGTGTTACCCAAACCCTCTTCTCACTCATTCTTTATTGATTAGTGCATTTATATACCTCTCTAGAAAATTTTTGGAAACATGAAGCAGTACCATAAACTAGTCACCATCACTAAAAGTTTCTGGCACTATTCAAATTTTGTTTCACCTGTAGTACATCTCTTTTAGAATTTTAAAATGCAACTTTTCAGAAAGAAAAGCATGTGAAAATTATCCCATAGCTCTACAGTTCAGAGTGAACTGTTTTTCTATAAAAACATACTAAATGCATGTGTGTGTGGATGTAGTATCTAAAAACATGAGGCAGCTGTTACATGGTGTTCAGGTACAGGGACCCAAGAGCCACCTGTCTGTGTTTGACTCCTGCAGTGATTACTTACTAGCAGGGTGGCTCAACCAATGGACTTAATCACACTTGGCCTCCATAGTATGAAAACACTAATAACACCTAGTTGTTGGTATTGGTTGCACCTTATAATACAGTTGTAGCCTCAGAAAGGTGCCTGGTACAAACAACAAATACTCAGTGTGTGTTTACCATTTAACAGCTCTTCATCCAGTTCTGTAAGGCATTTATTTAATTCACTTGCGTAGAGTGAGCATTTATCTATTCCTACAAATATAGTACTGCACAATCATTTTAATGGTTATCTAATATTACAACTTAGCAGAAACATATTAATATAATTGTCTCCTATTAAGGATAAATGGATTAAATTATATATTTTGGTACTTAAATTTGTTTATCTATTTTTTACTATTATAAATGATCCCTGCACCTACCTTCAGGGGTTTTTTGCTCAGTAAGTTTATAGATAGAAATAGAGGCACACATATTTTTTTTTATTGTTTTTTTTAAATTTTATTTTATTTTATTTGTGAACAAACTGTACAGAGGGGTTACAATTGCATGGGCAGGATAATGCGTACATTTCTTACCAAGCATTGCAGCCTCCTCCTTTGTTTACCCTTCCCA